CTGTCCGCCTCGTCCTCCGCGCCGGGACTGCCCGCGACCTCCCCCGAGCCCTTGCAGCCCCGGGCCAACCTCACCAACCAGTTCGTGCAGCCGTCCTGGCGAATCGCGCTCTGGTCCCTCGCCTACAGCGTGGTGGTGGCCGTGGCGGTCTTCGGGAATCTCATCGTCATCTGGATCATCCTGGCCCACAAGCGCATGAGGACCGTCACCAACTACTTCCTCGTGAACCTGGCTTTCTCCGACGCCTCCATGGCCGCCTTCAACACCTTGGTCAACTTCATCTACGCGCTTCACAGTGAGTGGTACTTCGGAGCCAACTACTGTCGCTTCCAGAATTTCTTTCCCATCACGGCGGTGTTCGCCAGCATCTACTCTATGACAGCCATTGCGGTGGACAGGTGAGGAGGTAACAGGAAGGAAGGAGAGAGAAGGGAGAGGGGAGAGCGGGGCTGGGGGGATAAAGTTACAAAGGAAATCGGTGACAAGATGGGTTTGGTGATAAAAGGAACCAGTCCGGGAAGGAGTTCTTGGAGAAGGGAGGTCAGGGACCCATGTATAGTCAATCCTGCAGGGGTGAACCAGTGTCTGTTTCTAAGGCTTCCCCCACTCACCCAACCCCTTGATCCGCATTGAGGGCATCTAGAGGGACAGAAGGAGGCCGATGAGGGAGATGAGAAAATCTGCCATTCCTAGTAGGACAAAGTCAGCTAGAAACAATACTAGCGAGTTGATCAAATGGCTTCAAACTACTGCCGCAGAACTTACATCCCTGTGAAATGAACTTTTGGGGCCTTCCATCTCTCTGTTAGAGGAATGGACAGAGTCAACCTCTTCTCTAACTTCTCTCTGGTTTGCTGGTCCACATCCCCACCCATCCATTCCCTATCTTTATGCCAAGGCCAGCACCGGTTTGGCCTCCCAGTCATGGAGCATCCATCCATCCGAGGCTAGAAACTCCTTCCCAGAGATTGCCACCAGCCAGTGTCTCCAGTTACAGGTTACTTCCAATAGTCTGCGGAGACTGTGAGCGGGGTAAACCCTGTGCCTCAAACATTACATCCAAATCTTGCAGATAATGAGTAGCAAACAGTTCAAGGAATAAATGGTTAGAGAACCGACGACAGCTGTCAGAGGGAAGGGGAGTTGGGTTGGGTGAAAAAGGTGAAGGGATTCAGCAAAGGAAAAACAAAGCAAAACTCAAAGACACAGACAGCCGAATGGTGACTAAGAGGGGTTAAGGGAGATAGAAAAGGGTGAAGGGGGTAGAAATGGTGATGGAAGGAGACTTGACTTGAGGTGGTGAACACACTACAATATACAGATGATGTGTTATACAACGGTCACCTGAAACCTATATAATTTTATTAAACAATGTCATCCCAATAAATTCAATAAAATTTTTTAAAAGAAATGAGACATACTAATTTATTGCTGTTTAAGGTAACTTTTACGCTGTTCCCTCTTCTACAGAGGAGACTCTGAGATGCTCAAACAAATTTAAAGAGCTGGATGGGCCTCCAACACTTGTTCTCATGTTTCCGTTTTAAATGTTTCTGTGTGCACTTGCTTTCTTATATTGGACATCATGAAATAGGCCCAGCGCAGGCCCTCGCCTGTGGGGAGGGAGGGGCCAGCTCACCCATCACGGTCAGGTTGAGCTGGCTCTCTCGGTTGCCCGCAGGGAAGGTGGCAAACTCGCAGATGTAGACGCCCTCGTCGTCCAGCTCAAGGCGGGAGAGGCGGATGGTGCCGTCGGTGAAGGAGGGCCGCAGGAACTGCACGCGGTCGCGGTAGGGGGCCAGCACCGAGACGCCCATGGCCGGGTTGTAGATGGCCACGTTCTGCTTGGAGCCGTTGGTCGCCTTCTGCCAGGTGACCTGGGTTATCTTCACACTGGGCAGCGGGTTGGCGAAGTTGCAGTGCAGCACCACGTCGGTGCCGACGAACCCGTACATGGAGTCGTTCACCTGCACCATCTGGGCGTGGGCACCTGGGCGAGGGCGAGGGGAAGGGTCAGGGCAGGCACGCCCTCCACCCCGCTCCCTGCGACCATCTTCCCTTTCCCAGCAGTCACACTCCCCTAATTCTTTTTTTAAAATAATATTTTTATTGGTTTCAGGGAGATGAGAAGGAGAGAGAGATAGAAACATCAATGATGAGAGAAAGTCATTGACTAGCTGCATCCTGAACACCCCAAACTGGGGATCAAGCCTGCAACCCCAGCATATGCCCTGCCTGGGAATCGAACCCTGACCTCCTGGTTCATAGGTCAACGCTCAACCACTGAGCCACGCCAGCTGGGCACAAGCACATAATTTTTAATGTGATCAGGAGGAGAGGCATTAGCATATCATGTTAAGAAGTTCTCACTATATTCTTTTTATTATTTGTAAATCAATGTACTTTATTTTTTAATTCTTTATTGTTTAAAGTATTACATGAGTCTCCTTTTTCCCCCATTGACCTCTCCCCAGCCGCCCCCACCCCCCAGCACATGCCTTCAACCCCCTACTGTCTGTCTCCATTGGTTATGCTCATATGCATGCATACGGGTCCTTTTATTGATTTCTTACCCCCTCACTCTCAACCCCCTGCCTTCCCTCATAGGTTGGACAGCCTGTTCAATGCTTCTATGACTCTGGTCCTATTTTTGTTTCTCACTATATTCTTGAAATTTTATTAGTGCATCATGAAATTTGATGAAAATTTAGTGTGTGTGAAATTGGTATTGAATGGCACATGTCATAAATGAATAAAAATGACAATATTTTTTATTATATTATCTGTTCTATTAATACTTTTCTAACATCTACATTCTCAATTAAGATATACGTAATATATATGAAAGATGTGTTATACATACATGTAAGATATATAGCATAAACAAGTCTTCAATTCTCATTTAATTGAAGGAAGAACTTTATCTAATTAAAGCAGCTGTTCCCAACCTGTGGGTCGCGACCCCTTTGGCGGTCAAACGACCCTTTCACAGGGGTCGCCTAAGACCATCCTGCATATCAGATATTTACATTACGATTCATAACAGTAGCAACATTACAGTTATGAAGTAGCAATGAAAATAATTTTATGGTTGGGTCACAACATGAGGAACTGTATTTAAAGGGCCAGAAGGTTGAGAACCACTGAATTAAAATAGGAGAGCATTGGCCTGGGAGTAGACTGCCTGCAGTGATTTGGATCTTGGCTCTACTGCATAATCCTGGGAAAGCTTAGCATCTTTTAGATGTTATATTTAATTGTTACATTTCAAAATGGCAAATTTAGGGATGGTGGTAGGAAAAGTGATTCTTCATGGTGAAATAATCCACTGTGTGTGTGTGTGTGTGTGTGTGTGTGTGTGTTAATGTGCCATTCAATATGTGGAGATATTAGAAAACAAGAAATATTTTCTTATATTTTCTAAGTACATTTTTAGTTTAAGTTAGAAACTCTAAGTAAACATAGAGTAAAGGACAATTTCTGGGCACATGGTCCAGTATCGATTGGAATATTTAATTACAGAATTTTGAAGATGACATTCACTATTTCTTACCTGAAAACCTTAAGTAATGTAATACATTTTATTTTATAGTTCAAAAACATTAACAAAGATAGTAAAAATAATTTACATTATTTAAGCATAGGAACATACCTGACATGAATAATTACTTAAAAACATTTAATCTAACTGAACTAAATTATATTTTTATTTATTTATTTATCTATTTATTTATTTATTTTAAAATATATTTTTATTGAGTCCAGAGAGGAAAGGGGAAGGAGAGACTGAATTATCAATGATGAGAGCGAATCATTGGTCGGCTGCCTCCTGCACATCCCCTACTGGGGAGCCAGCCCAAAACCCAGGCATGTGCCCTTGACTGGAATCGAACTTGGTACCCTTTAGTCCGCAGGCTGATGCTCTAGCCCAGCGGTTCTCAATCTGTGGGTCGCGACCCTTTTTGGGGTCGAACGACCCTTTCACAGGGGTCGCCTAAGACCATCGGGAAACACATATATAATTACATATTGTTTTTGTGATTAATCACTTTGCTTTAATTATGTTAAATTTATAACAATGAAAATACATCCTGCATATCAGATATTTATATTACGACTCATAACAGTAGCAAAATTATAGTTATGAAGTAGCAACGAAAATAATTTTATGGTTGGGGGTCACCACAACATGAGGAACTGTATTAAAGGGTCGCGGCATTAGGAAGGTTGAGAACCACTGCTCTAGCCACTGTGCCAAACCAGCTAGGCCTGTTATATTTTTAGCCAAATAGATAAAAATCTATGTTATATACTACTCTTTGTTTTCTTAATTTCTTCAGGAATATTTTTCATAAAGCTGTTATGCAACATATTCATAGGACCTCTATTTTTTTGAAATTTATTATGGGCAATTAAAAAATAGTTATAAAAATCATGAAGCCTGAATCTCACTCCAAGTAATCTCTTACACTTTCATGGGTTTGTTTTTCAGTTTAGAATAGAGACCGCCAGTTTATTCTCTTATCTAATTGGTTTTCTTCTGGATTATACGACATAACAATTTACACGACAAAATAGATGTTATAAATGAATGAAATTAGTTCAATGTATTGTGGTAAATGTTACAGTGCTATACATATTATGGAAATAAAAACTTTGGTCAATTTTTCCTATGTTTTAGGAAAGGTTACTTTTAGGAAATTTATGAATCACTGGTGCTTTCTACAATTTGTACTTCTTATTCAAAGATAGAAAAAAATCATGTTTGAATATAAGATCAATTTTCCCAAATCTCCAGACACATGTGTATAAATGTGGTAACATTATTAAGAATGTTTTTTATTCCATAACCTTTACTTATAAATCATTTCTTGCTATTCTCCCAATTATTTCAAAGACTCTCTAGGGAGGTGTGATAAGAGTGTATCAATAGTCAATTTAGCACTTCCATTCTCCTCACCACACTCTGGCAGAGAGAAGAGAAGAGAACAGAGGAGAAGAGGAAAGGAGAAGAGAGTAGGGGAGGGAAGCAGTAGGGAGGGGAGAACAGGGGAGCAATGCCAACACTCTGGTACAGAGCATGACAGTTTCTTGGGAGGAAGAAACCATGTCCTGCCCAGCCTGAGTTGCTCAGTGGTTGAGTGTCAACCTATGAACCAGGAGGTCACGGTTCGATTCCTGGTCAGAGCACGTGCCCGGGTTGTAGGCCTGATTCCTGGTGTGGGACATGCAGGAGGAAGCCGAGCAATAATTTTCTCTCATCATTGATGTTTCTATCTCTCCCTCTCCTTTCCTCTCAGATATCAATTGAAAAAAACAAAAACAAAACAAAACCATGTCCTTCTCCAGATAGCTGTTTTGTCACATTGTTACACCCAAATCTGCAAAATTCCTAAGT